CACCCGGCCTTGTTTAGTCTGTGTGGGAGCACAAATCACGGCGCAATGTCATCGCTCTGCCAGGGTCTGGATTTCATTAGGAGCCACATGATCGGCCTCGGCTGCCGCTGGGGTCTGGCCGCGCTCCCCCCGCAGAGCTGCACAGGATGCAGGGGCGACGGGTCGGGGCGCAGGGCTGAATAGGCATCTTGTCTGCAGGTGAGGAGCAGCAGCCACGTCGGTGGGACAGGGTTTTGGTCCCCCCAGGATGTTTGAGGACCCTGAAAATATCCTTAGGGAATAGGAGTGTGGCCTGAAGCCCTCCCTTGCTAGCATGGTGACTGCGGGGGCACAGCGAGATGGACACCCTGGAGCAGCCCTTAGCCCAGAAGACAGGACCCACAAGTCTGGGTCACTGCTCCTCCCCAAAAGTCAGGCTGCTGAAATAGAGGGACACAGCTGGCAAATGGGCAGTGCCAGGCCAAGGGACGGAAGGAGCTGGCTGCAGTCTGCTGCATCCCTTGCAGCCCACTGCAACCCTTGCATCCTCTGCATCCCTTGCATCCTGCTGCATCCCTTATGTCCCACTGCACCCTTTGCATCTCTTGCAGTCCGCTGCAGCCCTTGCATCCCTTGCAGCCTGCTGCATCCCTTACATCCTTTGCACCCTTTCACCCCGTGGCCCTTTGCACATAACTCCCAGCCAAGCACATGCACTTCTCCTCTCTCACCCTGTCTCCGTCCCAGGTATGAAGGACCGTGCAGTCACCCAAGAACACCCACGCCAGCCCTCTGGCATCCCCTCCATCAGCGTGCAGGGGAAGCAGCTCCCGTCCCTTGCCCAGAGCGAGCCCAGGCTCACCAGGCAGGGCCGCACAGGCAGGACCGGGTTGTCCATGGGGTAGTATAGACCTGTCACCCCCCCGTCAAACAGACCTTCTGACAAGCCCTCTGCTCTGCAGGGAGTGGAGACACAAGGAGCTCCTGAGCCACAACTGACACAAATTTGCCGTGGCTGAGCATCTGCGTCTCCTCCCGGGGAAGGATGTGCAGTCAGGACACGTGTGTGCAGCATCTCCCCTGTGTCCCCATGGATGCTCAGCCCAGACAACCAAAGCCCAGCCATGTTTTCTGACACATTTCTGACAATGCATGCTCCTCTCGGCAGGTCAAACCCAGCTTTTCCAGCTCAGTAGCCCTTCCTCCGCCAGCTACGTCAGCAGCCAGTCGGGAAGGGAGCACAGAGGTTTCACCCAGCACCACTGAGAGCCAGCGACCACCTCAATCCAGATCTTATTTTAGCTGCAGCTCAGGGGTGAAATTCCCGTTCAGATATTCAGCTCCAGAGGCCAGAGTGGGGGAAACACTTTTACTCCGCAGTGTTTAAATTGGAATAAATCTGGTGAGCCCGAGGCCATGAGGCTCCCGTGGTCCTGGCCACACACTCCCCTCGCCCAGGGGATGAGAGTGCATGAGGCTGAGGTCAGACACAAGGTTAAAGTGACCCAAAAAAGGAGGGGAGGAGGCTGGGGATGGGCGGCAAAGCCACCATAGTGGGTGACCACACACCCAATGCAGGATGGAGTTGGGGGGGGCTGGTGCTGGAGCCCCTTCCCCAGGGGTGCAGGGGACTCGTGCAGCTCTTGGCTGGAGGAGACTCAGGGAAACCATGCAAACCAAGTCGGGTGAGGAGAGCAGGATCCAGCCCTGAGGAGAGGAGCTACCCTGAGATCTGGCCCTGCGGGGCAGTTTGCAGCTCTGGGAGCACCCTGGCTCCATCCCCAGCTCAGGTACCAGCCAGGGACTAACCGAATGCACCGCGGCTTGGGCTGAGCTGCTGCCAAATCACCCAATTCATAGCCATGCCACAGAGAGCGGAGCACTGGTAGGATGCTCGCTAACTCCCAGCCTGAGCCCCAGCTGATGCTGCCTTGTCCCCATCCCCACGGTAAAAGCAATAAAGCCGCATTTGGTGCAAAGGCCTTTTTTGGTGACAGCTGGCTGCCCGGTGAAACCACGCTCGCCAAAGGCTGAGCGGCCACGGGGGGAGCTCCCAGCTCTGGAGTGGTGACTCAGAGCCATGATGACGTGGCGACTCTCCCACAGGGACACCGAGCTCGGGCAGCCGTCTCCTGTGGACGGGTTTGTGCTCTGGTTTCTCTGGAGGATTATGCCTAATTGCAATGTGCTTCAGTTGCAAAAATGAGCTGTCCTGCTCCATGCATGTGGGTGACCCACTCCCGCTGCCATCTCTGCTTGACTCAGGATCGGCAAGACCACAAAAGTGCTGTTTTTCCAGCATTTCTGAGCATGCAAATGTGCCCTTTGGGGTAAGGTAACATCCAGGCATCCCTTCTCTAAACAGGCAGTGGACACCTTTGCGAATCTCTCCAGCCTGGGACATATTTTCCCTGCAGGTGAGTGCAAGAAGCCTGAACCCCACAGGGGACCCTTTGCTTGGGGGCAAAGTGAGCAGCTCCAGTGGGAAACAGAGTTGTTTGGCCCTCTGGATCTCCTTGCACATCCCATGCTGGGGCACGGGCTCCATAGCACAATATGTGCTTGTTTCCCTGCTTCTCGCCACCCACCTGTGCAGCAGCAGTGTGAGGAAAGTCCCGCAGTTGCTTTGGGGGCTCAAGAAGCACTGGGCCAGGATCAGTCCCAGCTCCCTCTGTGCTGAGGCAAGGAGCATCCCACTCTCCTGGTGCAGAGCCCCCATGGCTGTGAGCACCCAAATGTGGCCTCATCCTGCCCAGCAGACTGCATCGCTCTGTGCACATGGGCCAGCAGCAGCTGGAGCAGGATGATGTGGTGGGACCATGTACCTCCCCCACGGTCCCAGACCCAGCCTGGGGCTGCAGATTGTCCCCAACAGGCAACCCAGCTGCAGTTCAGCTCACTGAGCTTCTTCCCTCAACTCAAAGCCCCTTGTCCCTCTGTCCCCATGACACTCATGCAGGTCCCAGCGGACTGCCCTGTCCCCCAGCTCCAGCTCCATCTACTGCAGTGAGTTTGCCCTGCACCACCACCAGCATCCTGGCCCAGCAACAAAGGCAGCATGAAGCCTACGCAAACCAGGGGCAGCTACCTCGTGGCGTCCATGCCGGCTCAGATATCTGGACCAGGTCCCCCAAAAGCCCAGCCTTTGCAGGCCCCAGCCCACCAGCCTGCAGAAGGCAGCGCCCGGAGCCTGCCGGGCTAATGAGAAGCGCATGGGACCCACATCTGGTAGCGATTGAGCGGGAGCAGCGCTGGGAAGGGAGGAAGCGCAGATTTCCTGCAGCACAAAGGAAGGGAGAGGAATGTCCGTGGCGGAGCGGAGGCCCCAGCGTCCCCCCTCCCTCCGCCGGCTCAGTCGCGATGACTTCAGTAGGGATGCAAAGGCACCAGATCGTGCCATGCTCCTTTGCCGGCACTGCTGGAGCTCGTCCCTGGGAATGTGCTCCCCTCTTCCCTGGGCTGAGCCCTTTGTCTGCCCAGCTGCTCCCCTTTTCCTCTCGCAGGGGTGCACGGGCACCCCACAGCCACTGTGCATGGCTCATGGCCATGCCGGCCCTCCAGACCTCACGCATGGTCTCTCCCCTCCTGTCTGGTGCTGCTTGGGGTCAAGGTCAAGACCTTGCTGCTCAGGGTCTGGGGTCAAGACAAACCTCCCCACACCACCGGGCTTCAACTGCCCCTCGAAACAGCCTTGGAAAGAGAGCAGAAGCCCCAGCAAGGCAGTGAAGGTGGCAAGATCAAAGCAGGGTCTGCCGTGACGATGGGGATGTGATGCTTGGAAGGGACAAGGGAGGTTGCATTTAGGTCCTCACCAGTGCAGGCAGCCATGTCAGGGGCAGGCAGCTTGCCTGGTCCTGTGCTGCTACCAGGTGAAGTCTTGGCCACCATACCCGAGCATCCACGGCTGCTGAAGGGATTTTGGGTTGTACTCCCTGGGGAATACCCTGGGACAACGAAACCCTGTGACAGCAAAACCCTGGCTTCAGGTGACACCCAGAGAAGGATATTTAGTAAAAGCTGCTGTCAAATCTTCATGGCAGAGGATGGGGATGCTTTTATCCTGGTCTTTCATATCGCCCCAGCCAGAGCTGAGCAGTACGTCTAATAGCTCTTAATTAAAAGACCCTTTTTTCCCTTCCCCAGCAGCTCAGCAGGCTACAGCCACCCAGGCTCTGCGCCACGGCTCTGCCGCCAGCAGCTCCAGTGCAGCAAAAACCTCTTGGCAGTTCCAAGGATGGGGTTGGGGTGATTTGCCTGTTCAAAATATGGGGCGGCCATTTCATGGGGACATTGCTGCCAAGCTGGGGGAAGAGCAAGCAGGGGATGGGCAGGACAGACAGACACGGCAGGGTTAACTCTACAAAGCAGTGGTCTAAGCAGCCCATAGGCAGAGGGGTCTGCAATCAGCCCACCCAAAGCCTCTCCAGCACTTGGGATTTGGGGATCCTTGGATGGAAATCAAAGGCAACCAACCGGAGGGAAAAAAAAGGGGGCAATTTATATTCAGGGATATTTTAGGGATGCCGTGTTCGCCTGGGGATGCTCCGTGTTCTTCTCCAACATGGCTGTTTCTACTCCCCTCAAGCTGGCAGCGCAGCTTTTGTAGGCTTTGAAGTCATATTAAAACCGATACCTTTAAGACATTTTTAATACACTTCAGTGGTTCTTTCATTTTGCTAATTCAAGCCAGGAACCTTTTCATGCGTGCCACTGAAATGAATTTGCAACTCGGCCTGCGCTAAACATTGATCTCATTACCTGCACCCGAGCGCTCACGAAAAGAACCCATTGCCATCCCAGTTGCATGTTTGAAGTCGAAACGCACTTAATAAACTCCGTGTGTTTTAAGGGATTAGAAGGGATCCTTGCAGCCGAGTGGTCTTGCCCTTCTCAGGGCTCCCCAGTGAACCCACAAATGTTGCCCGGCTTTGGTCTGGCGCAGTGTCTACAGGGAATGGTCCCCAGCTCACCAGCTGGAATGAAACCATGAAGCCAAGGACCCGGAGAGCGAAATTCCTCCAATGCCGGTGGTGCTGGGGGCTCACGGCATTTTCGGCGGTGGCGGCGGCCAAGTCACCGCGTACGGCAGCTCAAAAACTGCCAAAATCCATCTGAAAGGCTTTTGATCGAGTCATCGAAAACACTTTTTAACCGCTTTCAAGCCCGAGCAGGGGCGCACCCCGCCGGTGCTCTCCCTGCGCGTCCCATGGGACGGGCTGGAGAGAAACCCCCAGGAAAACTCGGAGCGCGGCTCCAGCCGCTGAGGCACCGCTGCGCACACGCACACGGCTCCCAGGGGAAGGCGGAGGCGCCGGTCGTTGCCGCCGCTGCTGCCGCCGGCCCCTCCGGGACCGGCCCGGACCGAGGATGCTCGGGGCCGCGCAGCGGGCTGCGCCACCGGGGCGGGGCGGG